CCCCCACGGACCCACACAGAGACCCAAACAGACCCACACAGTGCCACACAAACTCACACACACCCACACAGAGACCCAAACAGAGCCCCACAGACCCACAAAGAGCCACACAGAGACCCAAACAGACCCACACACACCCACAGTGACCCACACAGACTCAAACAGACCCACACAGAGACCCAAACAGAGCCACACGGACACACACACTGAGCCACACGGACACACACGCACCCAGAGCCTCACAGACCCACACACACACACACACATACACACACACACACACAGAGCCTCACAGACCCACAGAGGGTTAGAGAGACCGAGGCTACCACCGTCCGCCACTCCGAGAACAAGTCGAACTCACCGGGCTCCAAATCGGGAATGCTCGCCTGATAATCGGCACCGACCCTCATCCCGACATCTGGAGAATACGAAACAAAAAACATTAAGCGTTTTGTGTTTGTGTGACGTCTCGAGAGCCAGCACGGGCAGCGATAATAGGGTTGTTCGAGGCTATTCTCACCGTGCTCGTCGTCGCTGCCGCTTTCGTCGGAAAAATGTCCGTTGGACGCATTGGACGGGCTCTTGGTACCGTTCGAGCGTCCTTTCCCGAGGTATTCCGAACCCTTGTCCATCATGCCCGGCATCTCCGCGGTCGAACGGGCCGTTTCCAGCTGCCGTGTTGGGGGAATAAAAATGTCAGCGGGAGCGGGACGTTTTCTGGTGCCGCTCGCGCAGTCGCCTCGGCTTCGTCCGTGTCGCTGTGGCGCTTTTCTCCGCTCTCCTGAGGTGTTTACACCCTCATAGTGCGCTGCAACACGGCGACAAAAGCTAAAAGAAATGCCCCCGTTCGTTTTTTGAATGAATCGACCTCTTTGAGGTCGATTTTCCGCTTCAAAGTCGTTGTAACGGTGGATCTAACCATCGCAGCGGAAGGCTTTTTACGCACCGTGAGGCTGCAGTGCGGCTCCGGCTGCTGTGGTGCTTTTGAAACTAGATCCTTACGCGGACACACACACACATACAACAAATACAGAAAAATACAAATAAAAACATAAAAAACGTGACATAGTTGCGATCCACGTCCCAACAATGATCTAAATAAGTGGGCAGCAAGCTTTAAGCAGCGCTGTCTGTTAAAGTGCAAGCATTACCCGTAAATTATTCTGTAAACCTAATTCAGCTCAAACATTTCGCACGGATACAAGGCGCGTCATTCTAATGTTGAATGTGACAATAATATTAAGGTTCCATTAACTTTTTTTGACGGCCTAGCAATTAAATAGTCTTATTTTTCCCTCCGTGTTTACCACCGAATTAGCTGCGATTACTTAATGGAAGCGGCAGGGGGCGACAGAGCTCAACAATCCGGCGAAATGCCGTTCAAATGTCAGGCTGCTGGAGGTCAGACTCCACCAAATGATCCAGACAAATATGAACGTGTAAGTAGAAGTGAGCAAAATTTCAGATCAACTTAGCTGAGTAATAAAAAGCAGCCAAAACATTGCAGCTATATTGCATCATCTAGATGCTTAACGGTTGTGTGTGTGTGTGAGTCAAAGGTGGAAAGAACAAAAGATGAAAAAGAACTTGGCTCCCCAAATGTGAACATCTTTTTCAAAATCAACACCTCAAATGTTGAGTACATAGATAGATCATGTTTCTTTTGTATTACTCATTAGAATGTTTATGTTTGTTTGGGCCCAATTTACAGTTTACAGTTGACTATTTTATTGTTTACATCGGGTATTAACTTTCCATAAAAGTATATGATCACATTCAGATTTAAAGTATGATTTAAACTTTTGGATTATAGATTTATGGTTTTATCTGGGCCATAGTTATGTTTATGACAACAAAAAACAGCTAATGTAGGCTATCACTATCAACTGGACAGTGAGGGTGAATAAAATGATGTTAACACTTAAAGCTTTGAGAGTTTATCCAGATTATTTAGAGTTGAATTATTTGAAAGATTACGTATTAAAAGTAAATTTTCTTTAACTTGGATGCAGAGAAACAGGTAGCTGCATATTACATTAAACCAATAGTTCTAAAAAAGCTCAGTTTTTTTGCCTAGCGAGAAAGACTAAAAAAATCATCATTCATTTTAAAGGTGTTTTTGCTCCAATTCTTGCTTTATTTGGAATATTGCTGCTTATGCATCCCAATAATTGAGTCACTAAACACAATATCAGCTACTGTACACAGATCTATGAAGAGTGTCTAACAAATAAAAATAAAAATAAAGGGGAACTGATGAGGTTGGTTCTGTCAAGGTCACAGCAGTTTTAACATGTTTCCCGTCCAATCAGAGTCCGTCCAGTGGAACTTACTGGGATTTTCAGATGCCAGTCCAAAACTGCATCACACTGGTGTCACAGAGGGGCGCACAATCTGCTTCCCAGTTTCCCAGTTTTCCAAAGTCAAACAGAAATGTAAATGAAAAATGGACGCGTTGTCTAACTGTTCGACTGAAACTGGGTTTCACTGAACTGAATCTGTTTCTTTCTCTCTAAAAATGCCACTCGGAGGTTGATTTTGAGGTGGTGCAACATAAACCAACTTAACTGAAAATGTAATTACCTAACAGAAAGGGCAATGGAACTAAAGGGTAAAAGGCGCCTTTGGGAAAATATAATGGCAAGAGACTGAACAACCCCAAAAAGATGCAAATCATCTATAAATTTTGGCCAGACGGAAAACGAGGGGCACAGAGCACCCACAAATACTTTATAGTACATTTGAATGTCTAATAAACTAATAAACTTGTCATTTTACACCTTTATTTTTGGTGGTGTGTGCATGTGAGTGTGTTTCTTTTGCATGTGCATACTCTTGTGCCTGCAGTTTGAAAATTCTTCAACCAACCGTTTAAACCTACTGTATGTGTTGGGATTCTTTACCGTGCAGAGACATAACTCGCCTTTAGGGGCTTCATCAGGTATCCCTGAGCTGGATTGGAGTGGAGTGGGCTTTTGGGTGAACCCACCCTTTAATAGCGAGTCGGTCCGGTGATGTCATCAGTGTTTGTACCAGTTATGTCTCCGGTTCTCTCTCTCTCTTCCGGGCCCGGTGTCGGCGGACCTCTCTCTACCCAAGTCCAGCCTCCCGTGTGGCCCATCTCAGAGCTCGTGCTGCAACCATCTGCTGAAAGTGAACCCGTGGAGAGAGAGAGAGGGAGAGAGAGAGAGAGAGAGAGGGAAAGAGAGAGAGAGGGAGGGAGAGCTCACGGTGCTGGCGCATCCTCAGAGATGTGAGGGGTGTGAAGCATCTCTGCCCCTCACACCGGGAGCGCGGCAGGATGGCGGGGGGACGGCGGGGTCTGGTGGCCCCTCAGAACACCTTCCTGGAGAACATCGTTCGCCGCTCCAACGGTAAGAACGATCGGTTTACAGGCTGAATTTAACCGATCTGAACAGGGATGGGGGATGCGGCAGGGGGGCAGCTCGGGATCGCCGGGTCCGCGCGTCGGATCTGCGTTTGCGCACCGGTTAATTTGCGCCCTAACCTGAGCCAGGTGCAGGCCAGTTGGCCAACCGGCCGACCGGACACGGGGCAAAGCGGCAACGTCCACCGGTTTGGGCTCAGGCCATCCGTCCGTCCGTCCGTCCGGAGACCGGAAACTTCAGGGGGAACAAGGCACCCGGGTCCAGCTGCTGGTGTTGTTGTTGTTGTTTTTACCGGGACAAACGGGACTATTAGACAATTAGATGCTCCCTCCATCACATCAACCACATTCTTCTTTCACTTGCAGAACATTTATTTAACATGATTAATCTTTTAACATGTGCATTCTGTTGATAGTTTAACGCGTCAGAATGGAATTACAGAAAAGTTCAATCTTAAGTGACATTAAGACAGTAAGGACCCTGCACTCAGTATTGAAGCCAAGAGTTCCTATATAAACCTTTTGGGTCCCCCATCGTCTCTGTAAACATGTTTTTTTTATTTTTTACTATTGGGTTAATTTCTGAGTTAGTTGTTGATAGTGATTTAAATATATATAGAAAGGTGCCATAGTATTAAATCAATACCAACTTGATCCTGTATTTCTGATCTCCCGGAACAACATCCCTCTCGGTTCATACTGGACTATCTGACCACAGACGGACACGGTGGTATAGTTCATTTAAGGTGGGCTGTGGTAAAAAGGTCCGGTGCTGAAACGCGTCACGGGAAGAACCAGGGTCCAGTTGGAATCCGGCCGTGGAGTCTTAGACTGCCAAAAAGTGTGTTTCACCAGACATGCTGCTGCCGGGTCTAATTATTGCTATAGTTAATTACGAGGTAATCTCTGGAGGGCTTTTTCTTGTACCAGCAATATGAACCTTTCTAATGATGGTGGAATGAGGGGAGTGGATCTCAGAGACTGAAAATGATCAGATTTCCTCCTTAGGTACAACTTTTAATGATCTTTTGAATAATTAGCTGAACAATGTCAATCATTTTCTACTTTAGGAGATAGTGTAAGCCCTTTACAAAATTATGTAATTGAGAATTAATGATGACATAAGATAAACATTTTCTGGAAAATGGTACAGGATGCAAATGAGTTGGTTTCTTTGTAACGGCTCTATTTGTTTGTTTTTTTATTCTGAGAACAAATCTCCATAAGGGACCTTACATTTCGTGCTGTCATGTATTTTGTATGGATGCCGTTGTGCTGTTAGAGTCCTCGGGGCTTCTTTGGGGGCATGTAAAAGCCTGCCGGCGCGTTTTCAGCAGCACACACACCAGTCTCCTCTTTATTCAGCCTCTCATCTCTGGCCTGAGTTTGAAAAATGGATGGAGATATTTTAAATATTCAGGAAAACTCACTTAAGTGCCTGCGATTTGATCCTGTAAAAGAAAAGTGTATGAAAACAGTATTGATGTGCGGTGGATAAGGCAGATTGAAATACAGACGAGAGAAGAGGGAGGCACAACAAGCAGATGGTAAGATTATTCTATGAAGGCTGAAAAAACTCTGGAAACAAAAAGGTGCCGCATTACAATACCTTGACGGTGACTGATAGAAAAAGAGGAGAGAGCTGTCTGAAATACAGCTATGAAACAAAGAATAAACTATGTTATTAACTATTGATATTTCAATTGCGGTTCTCAGAGTTCAGTCAGCAAAGTTTCCTCTAAAATGCATTCAATGTGAAAACGTATACCAGAACAATTCCAATCTAAAGTCTGTAACAAATAATGTTCGCCTTGAAAATCTAAAGCCTACCAGCCAAACAATTATTTTGAAATCCTGCTGAATCTCTGCTGAATTTCAAGGTATTAACCAGCTTATTTATATTCATACGATCAGCTACAAACAGCTTTTTGGTCTTTCTAAACATGAAAAAAAGATACTCACACCTGTTTTCTCATCATCTAGACTTATGTTACATATTTCAGATGCTGCCGAGGCATAAAAATGGACAAACTCTTACTTCTTTAGGAGAAATACATCATATTTTGCTTTTCTATACCAAACTTTTCAGAGCTAGTAAGGCTATTTTGTTGGTCATAACATATACCAGTTATGACAAAAGTCTTTTCGAGTTATAAAATTACCATTTTCCTGTAAAATGCAGCTGTGGCTGCGATACTCTGACTGCTGGTTATCATTGCCTGGAGGCGTCACAGGTTTTGGCTGTTAGATCGTGAGAAAAGTTGGCTCCCCTTTGCTGTTTCTAACAGTTGGTGGTGACTTGTTGTTTTGGCCTGTCGTTCTTCAAGTCAGCCGGTGGTCTCTGTGTTCGCTCACAGGTGCTGAAGCTCGCTCGGATAGACGCTTAGTTGGAGGTGTAGGCTTGGAATCTCACCAAGGAGCTTATGTAACAGCTTCTCCCTGTGTGTCAACCCCCCCCGCCCCCATCTCCGATCAGAGAGCAGAGAAAGGCAGAGATACCCCTCACCTCACACAACAGAACCTGAGCAGAACTGAGCTCTTTGAGCTGGAGAAAACAATGCGGACGAGTGGAGGGTGCTGAGGTTTTATTCATCTGAAGGTGAAATGGAGGAGTAAAAGTTAAGATAAGCGGCCCCAGTAGGAGTTCCTCTACACCGTCAGCGGGGATTCTCAGTTCTGAAGACGTTTTTTTAAGGGTTGTTAACGTGTAGCTAGAATTTTGTATTCAAAGAGCGATCTGCATGAAGGTGTGAGAAAAAAGTTTCAAAGTCCAAAGGCTGGCAACAAGTTCATCATTGAATCCCTGAGAACGTAGCAAAGACTCTTTGAGAGGAAGTAAGTCTTTATCAAAGTGGATCACCACAGTAAACAAGAAGAGTTCAACCAATCTAAATGGGAAATGAGTGCAAAACAGACATGTGAATTGGTTGGAGGTCAAGATTTCCCAGCAAAAGTAAAGTCTGTGTGACTGTTAAACAACAATCTCTAATATTAGACCCATTTTGTTATAATAAAACTGTTTGAACCTCAGACAGATTTTCTAAAATCATCCATTCTATTAACTGTAAATAGAGTTAAATTAATGGCTTATGCATTAGTACTGACATTATACCTCTGAATGAGAAACTCCAATTAGATTGATCAATCTCTAATCTGTGGTCAGTTGCTTTGCAAACTGAAACAAAAAAAACTGAAACAAAACCGTGGTACGTGGATACTGGCCTCGTTAGTCCTTTGTTTTGTTGCAGTGCAGTCAAAATGAAAATGGATCCCTCCTCGCTGTTTACCCTGTTTAGCACAAAGCTTGGATTAAATAACGCCTTGGGGCTGAGCAGGCCTTTAACTGTTTTGTTTCCTGTGGTCAGACACAAACTTTGTGCTGGGGAATGCCCAGATCGTGGACTGGCCCATCGTCTACAGCAACGACGGCTTCTGTAAGCTGGCCGGTTACCATCGAGCTGAGGTCATGCAAAAGAGCAGCACCTGCAGGTACCACAAGACACCCAGCACGAAAGGGGGGGGTGGCTCTCCTGGCTTTTGGGCTGAACTGCCTTTTTTTTCCTCCTGTAGCTTCATGTACGGAGAGCTGACGGACAAGGAGACGAGCGAGAAGGTGCGACAAACCTTCGAGAACTACGAGATGAACTCTTTTGAGATTCTGATGTACAAGAAAAACAGTGAGTACTGCTTGCAAGGGTGTTTATTCAACCTGAATCATCATAAATAAAGCAGATTTCTTCCCTACCTTGAACGCATCATGCTGACTCTTAGTAAGTCATTTCTTCTCTGTCTTACGCTGCAGGGATGCCGGTTTGGTTTTTTGTGAAGATTGCTCCAATCAGGAACGAACAGGACAAAGTTGTCCTGTTTCTCTGCACTTTCAGCGACATCACGGCCTTCAAACAACCAATAGAGGATGACTCATCAAGAGGTGAGTCATTGCGTTCGTACGTGGTGGTGCTTTTAGTTTTTATCTCTGAGGGGAACTGTGGACGTCTCTCGATTGGGTTAGAGGGTCCTAAACAGCTCAGCCTCCAAAGGAGCGCAACGTTCCACTTACACAATAACCTCATCTCTCAAAAAGGTTCTTTCTGGCAAGTGTGAGTCAAACCAGAGCTCTAGAATCCAACACGGCGAGGATACACAATCACCTACATAGATTGCTTTAAATGAAAGCCTGCCTCGTGCTATAGATCATTTTTATTTAGCTCTGGCTGTCAGAGGAGGTTCTGCTTCGCCTTGAGACAGGAGCCGCTTACGCTTCGTTTGAATCAATGTGCTGGGAAAACTGGATTTTCCTTCCCAATCCATCAGTTGCCTTTGGTTTTTAACAGACTGATCTTTAGCACCAGATAAAAAACGGTGCCTGAAGACCTCTTTCCCCATCACTCCCCATTTATAAACTTTCCATCAGGTCCGATTCTTACCAGGCTGTGCGTGCCTGTAAAGCCTCTAATGGAAACCTTTGCTTAGGAGTCCTTAGAGAAAGGCTCAGCACGAAGGAGAGGAGGATCTTCTTCAGGCTTCTTCCATTATTCATTCACCCGTTTGAGATGTTTTAATCTGTGGGTTGTTCCTTTTATCTTCATTCGCAGGGTGGGGCAAGTTTGCCCGACTGACTCGCGCGTTGACCAGCAGCCGTGGAGTTCTTCAGCAGCTGGCGCCAGCTGTTCACAAAGGAGAAAACGTTCACAAGCATTCACGGCTGGCCGAAGTACGAGCAATTTTTTCTCTCTTTTCTTTTATCAGTAAGATCAATGAATGATGGGTTTCCTTCATACCAACTGTGCCCCTTAAGCTATGCTAAAAGCTACACATTTAGACGCATGGAGAATCAGGGATCTGCCTACCTGTGATAAGGACAGGGAGATGCTGGAGACGACAGGGTGGCCCATATCATTGTAAACTTGGCCTGCAGGCTCTACCTTCCATTGCCTCTCTGTGTGACGCAGAGAAAACCAACTGACTCTGATTCTGAAAGCTGAAGAAGCAGCTGGGGTGTTTGGGAATGCTGCGCGGCTCTCCTGCTCGTTTGGGACATGAATCATGTATTTGAATTTTGGTGTAGGCTATAAATGTTGAATGACGGCACATGAAAAACCTACCGGATGGTGAAATCAGTGGCGCTTGATGCAGTTTGACAGGAAACGGTGAGCAAGGGTCCGTAAGAGGTTCTTTAGGAGGCGTCTTTGAGTTGATCTTTATTGGTACCAGCAGCATCAGTAGCTGAACGTACCTCTCACAGCTGGTTATTTAGATGTTACACTTATATACTTTCATGGTGTGCATCAGGATACAAGAGGGTCACATTGCTGGTCACTCAGTGTTGACTGAACACCTTTGAATTAATTTAACTGATTCTATGTTCAATCTGTTATCAATCTGATAGTATAATATACTCTGAATTGCATATATGCTTTGTTAACATCAAGCTACTAACTTTAAAGTTTCTTTTTTGTGAACAGAAAGGTAACTTGCTATGGTCTGTATTTAATTCCATTTCCCTTGTCATACGTACTCACTTACATACCTCCATCCTTACACAAACACACGTGCATCGATAGGTATAAACGTCTTTATTACTTTTGTAGGAATATTTGACATTTGATAACTGCCAGTCCAATGGAAACCAGCGCCTGTGTGGGTGTTGGTCATGCTGGGAACGGACCAAATGAGCCTGTTTTATTTTGGTGCTGACATTTGACAAATATCTGACCCCATGGGGCTCATGGCCCTGGACTTCCTGCACTGATGTCACTCTAAGCGTTCTAGGCATCATCCTTGTGGCTCGTTTTAGTTTTAAATGTAGTCGCTCTGAAACAGAAACCTCACAGTTTACGTAAAACGTTTTTAATAGTTGAACGTGGAAGTGCTGTTGTCTTTTTTAGGCATTGAGCTATGGAAAATGTAAAGATTTGTTCAGAAATAGAAGCCAACAACCAGTCAGCTTCCATTTTTCAACAGTAATTAACTGTGACTAACCCTTCCATTAACTGCATGGAGATATAATTACATGCAATCTCCCACTCTCAGGGTGGTTCACTGGGTGTTGCTGCTTGTTCTTCCTCTGTTTTGAGAGTTTATTGATTTGATCGAAAAATAAGTCAATCATTCATTATTAAGAAATTAGAAAACAATAAAAACTGTTGAAAACAAAACATTGAAACTATCTAAAACAATTGTTAGGATCACTGTGTCCTAGAAATATTAAAGAAACATGTAAATCATTATGTAAACACTTTGGACACAATGAGGAGTAATGAAGATGTAACAAGAATCCCACAATCCAGCATTTGAAACTGCCTTTAGCTTTTGGCAATGTTTAATACCAAACGTATGCCAGTGGAAACTGGAAAAATAATATATTAATTCACAGAATGGAGGACACAGCACACACCTTTTCATTTAGAAAACAGAATTTCAGGAGTCTGTAAAGTTACTGAATGCCAAGTTTGCTTCCTGTAGACAAAACGATAAGCTAATCGTCTTCCTTGTTCTGTGTCTCAGGTTCTCCAGTTGGGCTCAGACATCTTACCTCAGTATAAGCAGGAAACTCCAAAGACGCCGCCGCACATCATCCTGCACTACTGCCTCTTCAAGACCACCTGGGACTGGGTCATCCTCATCCTCACCTTCTACACGGCCATCATGGTGCCCTACAACGTCTCCTTCAAGACCAAGCAAAACAACGTGACCTGGCTGGTGGTGGACAGCATCGTGGACGTCATCTTCCTCGTGGACATTGTCCTCAACTTCCACACCACCTTCGTGGGGCCGGCCGGGGAGGTCATCTCCGACCCGAAGCTCATCCGCATGAACTACGTCAAGACCTGGTTCGTCATCGACCTGCTGTCCTGCCTGCCCTACGATGTCATCAACGCCTTCGAGAACGTCGACGAGGTTAGTGGCTTGGATTTGATTTATTCACTGAAAATGTTCCCGCTAAAACTAAGTATGAAGCTAAACAATTCCTGAGCAGTTGTGAGATATTGGCCAATGTGTGCTCCTAGTATGCTGAGCATAAAATGAGACAGCGAACAGTCCTGACGGCCCCCTCTGAGTATCAGTGAGAGATTAAAAACAACCTCAGTGAGTTTCCTTCCCCGCTGCTCTGCAAACGTGATGGTCTTTTGCTCCCAAAGGAAAGCAACGACAGCCTGTTTCAGAGCCTCGCACAAAAATGAAGCAAAACTGACAAAAGCGTGCTTGATATTTCCCCTTTGTTTTCACGGAGCAAACATTTTGAGCTTTTTTTTTGTGGGCATGAGTATTTTCCTGTTTCAGTTTAATCCACAGCTTCTCCTGAGTAAACACAGTAGTCCACTCAGGCTTATTTTCTGTTCAGTTCAGCTGACAATTTTCAAAAATATTATACCTCTAGATTATTTATCTTTTTATGTAGATATGGAGTGGTGATTAAATGGTGACAGCATTATGTTTGCTTTACACCTAAACACATTTTTTATATGTCTTCTGCCTTTTTTAAAAGTTTTATTATTGTTTACTGACCAAGTTTAAACAATTGTACATGCCAGAAACAGTGGCACTAGACCTTCAATTTGAAGTTTGTTTTTTTTAAACTTTTTTTTGTGAAAAACTACTTTCAAATGTACATTAAATCTAGTTTTGCAACGTAACCAGGGATTTATTGTTGACTTCAACTACGGTAATTGAATTAATTGTAATTTAGTTTCTGGATTTCTAAAAAAAGGGATAAAATTTGTTCAAACGAATATGGTGCAAATTAGGTTAATTTAATTAATCAGTCTAGTTAGTTGTATTATCATTGAATGGTTCTCATGTGATAAATATAAGAAAAAATGGGTTACACATGTATTGTATTTTTACGTTATTAGAAGGATACAGTATTTACCATGATACTAAGTGTCCATATTGGTTTGGTAGTGCATAAAACGGTCTCTTAATACATCTATTTAACCTTTAGGGTGTATAACATGAAATAATTACCAGAGTATATTGCCTTAGATAAAGTGATGACATTTTATGTCTGAAAGGTCAAAGTAAAATTAATTATTACATCGTGAATCACTCCCTATTTCTTTTTCTGGGGCTCAGTACCATGACTCAGGACCAGAAGGGACAATATTTCACATTTAAGCTGATTCTCAGTGGGTGGTATTCATGCTCTGTGCCCACCTCGAATCTGTTGAAGTTGTATAGATCCTTTGTGCTGTTTGGCTGCTAGTTTGTGTGAATCACTCACGGTTTACTGTTTGTCTGTGTGTCTGAATAGTTGTTGCCTATTACCAACGTCATTCCCCAGTCACATGACACTGTAAAAGGACTTGAATTCAGTGTTTTGTCTTTCCCAGTGAACTAACGCACACACAATATATAACAAATAAGTGACTAAGAACAAGTCAGTGTCCGATCAAGGCCATTTACATCTCTCTATATCAAATAAAAAAATGCATCTCAGTTTTTCATTAAAAGACAGAACATGGAAACATGGATCTGAATCACTATTTAAAAGTCTGACATGCAAAATGAAAATTCTACTTTGTCTGTAGGATGTAGTGATGCGACTGCCATACAAAGGACTTGAATTCAGTGTTTTGTCTTTCCCAGTGAACTAACACACACACAATATATAACGAATAAGTGACTAAAGAAACAAGTCAGTGTCAGATCAAGGCCATTTACATCTCTCTATATTAAATAAAAAATGCATCTCAGTGGCTCATTAAAAGACAGAACATGGAAACATGGATATGAACCACTATTTAATAGTCTGACATGCAAAATGCTAATTCTACTTTGTCTGTAGGATGTAGTGATGCCACTGCCATAAAAACTGCCATAAAAAATCCAAATCCTAGCTACTATGGAGTCTCTGCAGCTTGGCTTTCATGCTGCACTGCCCACAGCTGCTCCGTCTCAGCTTTGTGAAACCGGAGAAGTCAGCATTGTGTGGCGCAGTGGTCGCGGTGTGTGACCTGCAGCTACCACTGTCCGTCAGGATGAGGTGCGAAATCAAAGACGATGCCGCGTGACCGCCCGAGCAGATGGAGTGAACTGTTTTTACATTCGTCCACAGACAAAAAGCCAATGCAGGGAGAAAAGTCAGGACTGAGTTCCGCAAAAGTGCTGACCTTTGAAATATGCAAAGCCCCAGCTTCGGGGGAATAAGTAAAAAAAAATGCATTTGTGTATTAGGAATTCCTCAAGCCTGCCATGTAACTTTTTTTTTAAACAGAAAATGCAGTTCTGCAATCTTCTAGAATAATACAGCAAATGTCAGATCAAAAAGTAAACCAGGATACTGTCCAAATCTGCCTTAAAAAAATATCTAAGAGACGGTCTGTTGGGTCAGAGGAGTTTGGTTGATGAAGCGTCATGCATATGAACAAATGTACCAAGAAATCTGATAATGTCAAGCGGGGGCTGGTGGAATCTGTGCAGTGCATTATGGGCAACTGGAAATGCAGCTTAATGGTTTTAAGAGTGGAAACGGCGACGTGATAGATGAACCAATCAAGAGCTTCTTCAGGTGGATGCTCCTGTAAATGTTCCATATTTCTCGGTGCATGTTCAAATACACATATTTCATACAGACGATAATACAGATTTTTTAAGCTGTAATGTAGGTGAAGAAGGATCTAAGATCAAGCAGTAGCTATTTTATTTTGTCGAGTTTCCCCAGTGTTGATTTTGACCTTCTCTTTGTTCCACTTTGGTTTGCTTCACTGATCATTGGATCATGTGATGTTGTTTCTTTTCCTTATGTAATAGTCTGAGAAAAGTCTGTGAGCTTATCACTTAAATATTTTGGCTGTAGAATAAAGGAAAAGCTGTGTTCAAACCTTCTTTTTCTGATATATCTGCTTCTTTTTTGTTTTTTTTTGTCTTCCATTCCAGGGCATCAGCAGCCTCTTCAGCTCCCTCAAAGTGGTCCGCCTGCTGCGTTTGGGTCGGGTCGCCCGAAAACTGGACCACTACATCGAGTACGGGGCCGCCGTGCTGGTCCTGCTGGTGTGCGTGTTCGGCCTGGCGGCCCACTGGCTGGCCTGCATCTGGTACAGCATCGGAGACTACGAGGTGATCGACGAGGACACCAACAGCGTGAGGCTGGACAGCTGGCTGTACCTGCTGGGGGAGACGGTGGGGACCCCCTACAGGTTCAACGCCTCGGGCACGGGCCGCTGGGAGGGGGGGCCCAGCAAAGACTCGGTCTACATCACCTCGCTGTACTTCACCATGACCAGCCTGACCAGCATCGGCTTCGGAAACATCGCCCCGAACACGGACGGAGAGAAGATCTTCGCCGTGGCCATGATGATGATCGGATGTGAGTCTCTGTCGTTTCAATTTACGTCCCATTGATCGGAAAGTGTCCGTTTTTTTTTTCTTGCGTTTTATGTGACAGCAGGTGGAGGTTGAAGCGTCTGGCACATTTCCTCTGTGAATTTACACTCATCTCTCTTTGATTTCTTTTTATTTAATCCCAAACTCCATCCATCCAGAAAATCGGGGCTCATTTAATCATTTGGCTGATGATAGAGTTTAATCTTCATTGATAAAGCTTAAACAATACAGCTATCAGTGTCACCAATCATATATAAAATTGATAAGTATAAAATAGTGGAGTGATCTGAAACACATTGTTCCTATTTGAATGCAGCATTTTTTAAAAATATACAAAAGGAAGCATGTGAACAAAGAGCATCTGAAGGTTTTCTGGAAAACATTGAGCCTTCGATCCTGAGGGACTTGAAATCAACTCATTCTCACTTCAAACCTGCCACAATCTGACACTTGGTCGTAACCCTGCTGTGCTGGGTGCCAACACAGCATCATTTCAGAGTGCAGAGCCTCAGAGGCTCAGTCTATTGGAAATCTTTCCAAGGACAGTGTTCTGATAATGTAGAGGCTAGTTCAAAGCAATGATCAGTTTTATAGGGACATTAGGTAGTATTTTAAGTATTTCATTAGCTAAAAATGTTTCCTCATGTTTAAATATGTTCTCATTTGGTTTAAAATGACCTCTGTAATGATCTGACTTCTCCTCATAATCTGTATATAAGTAGGACGGGCAAGTCCAAGGAGGTTTCCATGGCGTTCCACCATTTTGAAAAACCATAATCGCCGAGAGGGACATAAAGCACTAGTCTACCTGTCTAGCTAATCCACAACGCGTTTTCGTTCAGTCACATGACTGAAACAAGTCACTGCCCTGGCAAATTTGACCGCTTGCATTGTACTTTAGTCCATAATAGAGGATCATACTTATGCCGAGCCACAGGAGAAGCAATCATTGTTGCCAAAAAAAGTTAATTAAAAAGGAAATACTTCTTTATGCATCACAGCTACCGTAGTCGCAATACCCATTTGAAAGCGCTTGGCACTAGAGAGCACGATTTGTTAAAATGAAAAATACACTAGACGTATTTTAAGATACATTAGATGGGAGGAATTCCTACACCGTGTACCTTTAATGTCTATAACCCTGGTAAAAACTGCTTCGTCAAGGCCGAACCTCAAAACGAGCCGTCGTGTGTGTGGCCGTCCACCCTTCTGTTTGCTGGCCGGCACAAGAGATTGATGCATTTCTGTCGTTTGCGTTTTACCCTGAAAAGACGAGCGTCAAAACACAGCTGCTTCCGTTGTCCCCTGCGGGTCGGTAGGGGATGATAAAGGGCCCTCGTGTGGCGGTGCGGAGGTAGTTTGGGCTCGATTCCCACAAATCCCAACAGATTGATCCCGAGATCCCGAGGGACATTGTTCATTCATGTTTTAAACACAAGCCCTAAAAGAGGAGTAAAAAAAAACTTGGCTGCACAGACTGTGAAACCAGCTCATTTGGAAAACAGTCAATATGAATGTTTTGCCCATTTTCTTTTTCAGTTTGATAATGAATATGCATATGTTAGAAAATAATGGAATAGTTTTATGAGATGATTAGAATATTAATAATGATAATGGTAATACCTTAGAATATTTTAAAAGGTTTTGTTGCACAGGAGCATGTAGCTTCCAGATATATGGGAAAATAATTTCCTGGGTTGATATTTAGATTTTTAAACATGATTTGGTTTAGTCTGAGCATATGACTGAGCCTCTTTGTTAAAGAGACATAGATACAATGTTGGAATCCGTAAACAACATAAGGAAATGTCTGTATTTACCAGGAAAATAACACAACATACCGCAATTTTTCAGAAAATCAACAGATAAGAGCAAGCAAGAGTCAGATAGTTCTGTCAATAATTTATCGATGGATGACTGAGTGATCTAAAAACGTTCTGCCTTCTATTTACAGCTAAAGCCCAGTCGCAGTCAGTTTGCGGCTGCAGAGAAATGGTGTAAAGTATAAACCTATTTCCTGTAACTACCACTTCAATGTTGTAATGCGGATTTTTTTATGTCAGGAACACATCTCTTTTTCTAGGAAAACAAATGGGGAAAATGTGAACCATCCACATTTTAAGGTACAATAACAGATTGTACATTTTTGCTCTGCTGCAAAACAGGTAAATGATGACCTGTTTGAAAGGACGTCAGAGAGAGAAAAGGCCAGAGGGCATTTTTTCCATGTGGATGCTTAGCAGTGGATCTCCCCCCTCTCTGTTGACCGTGTTGTTTTCTGCTCCTAATCTGGCTCCATCACAAACCTTTCAGTGGCAATTTCTTCTTCAAAAATGCCCGATAGCTCATAGCCTTTTGGTCCAATTTGAGAGTGGTTTTCGTATTAATGGTTGCAGTCTGCAGTTGAAACCTTGCAAAGCCTGTCCATTTTTATTGTATTTTTTTTACTGATTTAGAACCACCTACAGCCAGTGATCCAGCCCTTTCTCTTTCGATGTTATGAGGCATGACATGGTGTGGTAGCTTTAGTGGAATACTCGCTAAAATGCTAACTTTGCTGTCTTCTAAAAATCCCCCCCCCCCCGCTGTGGTATTATAGTCTGCACACATCCAGCTTCTCAGCGGGACGCCTTATGGACCCTGAAAGCTGGACGTGACTGCACTGACCACGCAACTCTGAACAGTCATGTTATAACACACACCACAAATACTGGGTTTGGCGCGCACAGTTACTGTGAAACGGAGCTTCCACAGTACTGGGTCAGGTAGCACATGGAAGATGAAAATAAAAGCAATTCTTCTCGATAAGTTTTCTAAATCTGAATTAAAATTCCTGTAGAAAGCACTCAAGTGTGCACAAGAGAGCTGGTTATCTGAAATGTAAAGTGCAGTATGGCTTTCCCTGAGACTGGGTTAAACAGGATGGGATTTAAGGAGGCAGCTTTCTTCACTGTGAACTCTTTCTGTCAGCGTCAGGTGTCTCTTCTGTTTCCTTTGGATATTAAAAACAAAAGAAAAACACAACACATTTGATTTTTTATACTGATTTTAAGTTGTTAGGAGCACCCTCAAACCATAAAAGAGTTACTCAGTTAGCACCGTTCCAGGAAACGTCTCGATTCCGTTTGTCGCTCTCCATAGATAGAGCCTGTAGTGACATCAGTATTTCATCTGGCACCCTCCCGGATATATTACATAACCGCTGACCCTGGGTCAGATACTTTGCGGAGATCTTCCAGAGCAGACGGAGTGTGTGCAGGTAAAAGCTGCTCACCGCCGAGCCGAAGACTGATAATGTTGACAATTTGTGTCGGAAACTTCCGTCACTTTGGGCCAGATCATAGTCTGCAGTCTGCTAGTTTGTAGTAGAGAAGAAAAAAAAATCAGCAGGCAGGAGTTTTATCCTTTCTTCAAACTTTTTTTCTTGTCAGTGACATAATTACATGTAGTTGCAGTGCTAAAGATCCTAAAAGTAAATAAACAGGGCAGAAAGTGTCCATTGGAAGTGAACTCCTAGCCTAGTTTCAGTTCCAGTCTCCACAGTATAAGGATTCATCTTCATTTGACAGTTTGTTCCTCTGGGGCTCCTGTAATGAATTGCTTTTAGAAAAATTTGAGGCCTGTAGAACCCTCATTTTCCTATTTAGATTCATGAGAAACACTTAAAGAAAAGCTGAGATTGGATTAAGCCCCCATTCATACACACCCCTCAGCTTCCTGGCTCGCATCGTGCCTGAAAGCTGACGGAGAGCTGTTGCTATGACAGCGAGTATCTGGGATTCAGGATGAGGGTTTGGGTGATTAGCAAAAGCAAGTGTAAGTGTTGTAGCGCCTACCGCGATTTTAGGATGACAGCTGAGGGAAAAAGCACAAGTAGACGGTCCGTTTTCCCACCAGAGAATTCCTCACGTTGATGGAGATAGTGCTCCCGATGGGAAAAAAAACTAAAACATATGGGAGACCTGGTTCTAGTTCCGAATGAAGTTAAGTTTGTGGGACTTTATGAGATGAATCTATTTAAATCTTTTCAACTTATCACCATACAAAATAAGCTTATTAGTGCTTCATGAGTGGAGAACTGAAACCGTTCTCGTTGTATATTGACTAAATCTCTAAATCTGAAGCTTTAAAGTTGCTTTTTTTTCACCAGCAAAACAAAAAAAAAAAAGAGATTTGAAAGGCCATGTCCGCCATTCATTGTCCAGCTTTAGAAATCACACATAATCCCTCAACATATGCCACTAATGTTGCAGAAAGACATACAAAACGTTCACCTGTGGAGTCAATATATCAAATACATATTCCCCTACTTAGCACTACAGATTGGAGGATCTTTGTCAATAGAGGAAATATTTCCTCCTGTTACTGTGTCTACTTTTGAGTGTAACTGTGGTTAAATCTGTACCACCTTTAGCCCATAAAAAGCATGTTAACTGATCCTCTATGAGATATTTGTGTCAAGTGTTAGAAGCAGAGGTGAAAGCAAATTGCCTCACATATTAACAAAAGTATATCCCGACTTGTCTCTTAGCAGGTGCAACCGTTGAAAAGAAGCTTTTCTTTGAAAAAAAAAAAATCCAGCCAAAAGATTTGTGTTTTTCACATCTCCAAGAAGCCAGATTTTTTTTATTACATGATCTGACTGCAGTCAAAGCTTAGAAAAGTTATTTCATGTCAATATTTGTTACTTGTCTGTATTATTTTCAGGTTAAGACATTGTTTGAAAGGAATTTTTCAATTTAACTGTTGTGCTCGCTTCTCTACTCTGAAACTGCTGCTAAATGGCTTCATAGTCATCGACAATTAACCAAGAAAAACACGACCACACCGACTCACAGAGCTTTCCCCCCCGTTCACAGCGCTGCTGTACGCCACCATCTTCGGTAACGTCACCACCATCTTCCAGCAGATGTACGCCAACACCAACCGCTACCACGAGATGCTCAACAGCGTGCGGGACTTCCTCAAACTCTACCAGGTCCCCAAGGGCCTGAGCGAGCGCGTGATGGACTACATCGTGTCGGCCTGGTCTATGACCAGAGGCATCGACACCGACAAGGTAAAAAAAACTCTCAGACGCTTGATCTTTTGATTCAGAGGCACAAATTCTGAATTTCATCAAAGGGGAAAAAGACGGGTTTCGGTCACTTGGGCCACATTCTGGGTTAGGTTTCACCTACACTAAGCTCTGTGAGACCACCAATGACTTATTTGTCATTCTTCTTGACTTCTTATTTAGCTATTTCATTAAAGTTTTTAAAAATGCATGAAAGAATTTTACTCAAAGAAATGCTATTCATGGACATCTGGTGCAGTTTCATAAGTAAACAATGACAACAGCGTCCTATGATAAGCTACCCAACTTATCTCTGAATTCAATTCCTATTTGCTTGGTCTAAAATGTAGACTTGTTCAGGAAATATTTTTGTCTAAAATTTAGACCAAGCAAATAGGAATTGAAGCGATTAAAGCAATTAAACTTCACACACTATCATTTCCATAAAAGCATCGGAGATGAGGAGCCAGGTTTCAGGAAATATTTTTGTTTTTCACTATTTTGCAGAAATGTTGCTTGTGAAATATATATTCCGATTTTTTTTTTTAGGCCACAAACTGTTTCAGATTTAGGGGATTTTTACTCATTAAGGTCCAAGCCTTAGTTCAAACATTTTATTGGCGGAGTGAGTGGAAACAGGATTTAGTTTTCTTTTTAAAACAGGAGAAATTGTAAATAACAACGCTTTTCAACTATTTCCAACTGCGGTCTATTTGAACAACTCTTCTTTTATTTAGGGACTAAGACCAGTATTTCGCTAGTTTACCTGGAAAAAACAAACAAACTCTGATCTTAACATGTCTTGAAGCATCTTTAGATGACATTTGTCGTGATTTGGCGAGGCATAACTGCAGTTGAACTGAACCGAACGGGGCCCCACACAAATGTATCGCGCTGTCAAATTCCGATCCTCTGAACATCTGCAGGTGCTGCAGATCTGTCCCAAGGACATGCGGGCGGACATCTGCGTCCACCTCAACAGGAAGGTCTTCAAGGAGCACCCGGCCTTCCGGCTGGCCAGCGACGGCTGCCTACGGGCCCTGGCCATGGAGTTCCAGACCATCCACAGCGCGCCGGGGGACCTGATCTACCACGCCGGGGAGAGCGTGGACAGCCTCTGCTTCGTGGTGTCCGGGTCACTCGAGGTCATCCAGGACGACGAGGTGGTGGCCATTTTAGGTGAGGGTTTTTTTTTTAAAGCATTCCACGGCGGAACGTTTTGGCTAAAGTTCGGGACAGAGCTGCAGGGTGCTCACAAAACACCTCACAAACTTTATAAAAGAAGCAGGACCCAAAACTCTATTTACGTAATTCACTTGTGTGTTCTTAATGCAGTGTTTTTCAACCTTTTTTGACCCATGGTACATTTTTTCGTTGAGAAAATCACGAGGCACACCACCAACCAAAAATGTCAAACAAATCTGTGGCCGCCTATAGTAACACTATAGTTATTCTTATCTTATCTTAAGTGTCTTGAATAGGAATCAAATCAACACAAAAATGTATTTTTATCATATTTTATAGTTCTTATTTCAAATTGCACTTAACATGTCCACTTCGATATGCAAAATTATATACAAAATCTAGTCATAAGGAATTATTACATGATTACTCCACCAGTCACTTGTACAGCACAGACACCCAAAAATTATTTGCAGATAATTAATTCTTTATCAAAAAATCTTTTTAGACCAATTAGGTGAAATAGGATGATTTTCTACGGCACACCTGACCATCACTCGCGGCACACTAGTGTACCGAGGCACAGTGGTTGAAAAATCTTAATGCACCCATTTATCTTCGTCTGAAGGTAAAACTTGAAATATATTCCAACCCGAGGGAGATTTCCTGTTTGAAACAGATCAGTTCTGCTCAGTAGTCTGTTTTTTTTAAATACTTTTACATCTGCTTTCAGATTGATAAAATCCCCTTCAGTTTATATAGAAAGAACATTTTATTCTAGGAGCGAAACAAGGAACCGAAAAGGCCTTTTTTCTGCTTCCAGAAGACGATAGCTTCCGCTTACTCTGGATCAAAGACCTCGGCTCTGAAACGGTCTCTCACCTGCCGTGAAAAACACACAGCGGAACAAAAAAAACCCGCTCCCCACTGCAGATCAGACTAAAAAAACCCGTGTTTGCCATTGTCACGTGGAGTATACTCCAGGGTCATCATTAGCAAACAGTCCCGGGTTTTTGAACCGGATCAGAGACAAGCAGAGTGAGCGTTTACGGAGGATCCTGTCAAAGTGAAGCACGCCTGGATGAACAGCTGTCAGAGGCGTCAACATATAGTCCAAAAAAGGTCCTCCACTCTGTACTGATGTGGCCAACCGTCTCTTGTTTGCCTAAAATAGATGCAACAATCGGGGTTAAGAATAAAAGATGATTGAACTGATACAGGAACCAGTAAAAAGATTACAGGTGGCAATGATGGCAAAAGAGAAGAGGAACGGGTCTCCCACACTGTATTATTGGGAAACCCAGCTGCAGACAGATGTGGTTCTTGTTGGAGGATGGAGGACCGGACAGATGTCCAAACCTCCACCGCAATTTGAGAAAAAACTAGTAGTCTGTTGCTTTAATAAGCAATGTCATTTTGAAACCACAAATAAATGCGTAAATGTAATGTGACTGAATCCTAAAAATAAGAAGAGCACTAAAGATTCAAATGAAAAAGATAACAGCAACAGAAAAAAGCAAAGTGTGTGATAGTTCTCCAGCTGTACAAACCAAATATAATTTCCCACTTTGGCTATAT